AGTGAGCATCTGCTGTGGAAAAGCTGCTTGGGGAGGAATTCAGGCAAAGGAAAAGCCTCACACTGTTGGGTTTTGGTTTGGTTTGAAGTTTTTGCTGCTGCTGTGGTTTCAGGTGTAGCAGCAGCACACCACACTCACCGTGGCAGAAGGGCCTTTGTGTGATAAATAAAGGTTTATTCCAGCAATCCCAAGGGAAATCAGGGACAAAAGACAAACAATGGGGTGTGCACAAGGTTAAGTATGAGGTGGCACAAAGGGCACTGCCCTGCAGGGAAGATGGGGTGGCCACCAGGGATACCACAACCAGTGAGGGAATAGGGAAAGGAGAAACCAGGAGAATTTGGAATAATATGGGGAAAAGGAACTGGGGTGGATCATGGTGTTGTAAGGCTCCATGGGGAAGTCTTCTCTCTCAGCTTAGGTGGAGACTTTATGGTTTATTCTTCCTGGGGCATTTCCCTGAAGGATTCAAAGGATTCCACAACTCCCCTAGTTTTTCTTACTGTGAAGACTTCCCCAATGGACCTCTGCAGACACTTAACTAAACAGGGAAACATGAGTAAAACAACAAAAACAATGATTGCAACCCAAAAAATTCCTTTAACAAAAGGTGAAACCCATCCTGTCAACCCCCATTGTCCAAAAATACATTGATCCAATTTGAGTTCTCAACTTTTAATTCCTTTATTTGTGTGGATGGATTCTGAGTGTGAGGAAAGGTTGAGGGAGCACATTCCTTCAAAGTCTTGGCAGCCATGTGTGGGAAATGAATTTGTAGGGAATTCTCCAAGCCTGACAGAAGGTTCACACAGTGCATCTGTGTGCAAACCTTGAGACAAGAAATGCTGACTTAGAAATGCCCTGGAATAGGACAGACATTGTTGGGAGAGAAATGGAGCTAAAACAAGTTTCAAAGGATGGCCTTGCAAATAAGACTGGATACTTTGGAGAAACAGAACTGTGAAAGATGCATTGTAGTGGGACCCACGAGGGGTAATTTTAGATGATTGGCTTTAAGGCATCTACAGCATGGTGTGGCTAAAGCTGATAGGCCAAGAATCAATTATAGTGTATTGTAATTAGGAAAGAATTGGCTTCTAATTGTGATGGTGTGAATTATAACATCTGTATTGTCTCACCCTTCTCATGAGACTGAAAATGGAATAAAAGTTTTTAAAACACCTCTCAGTTGGCCCATCTCTGGGTCAAGAAAAAGGCAACACCAATGCCATGGGCAAGCAATAAAAAGTTACAGCAATAAAAAGTCTGTCACTCCTCAGTTTTGCAATGTTGTGTGCCTGGAAGTCTCAGTGTCCCCAGGCAGGTCCCTGAGTGCAGAGCAGCTGACATTTGCTTGCTTGCTGAGCCAGCATTCCAAGTGAGAAAGCTCACCCAGACCCTGAGCTGTGGCCACCCAAGGTAAAAACAGTGAGACCACAACTCTCTTTTCTTTGTTCTAATTGTGAACAAAGTAATCCTGTGCCCCCAGGATTAATTAAGACTCACAAGATAATTGGTTTTTTTCCTTTTGTGGAGGTCTCCATAACATTAACAAGAAAAACTTCTCTCCCTAAGTAAACTAAATAAAGACTATTTTAAAAGTAGTAAGCTAACTGAAAATTTTAAATTTTATTTCTTTACATTATCAGTGAAAAAAGAAAGATTGTAGGAGAAAAAGAAGTGTTCTAAAAGGTTTGTTTTAATTCTTACTACTTTTTTTTTCTTTTAGTTACTATTAATAAATTTTTCTTTATACCCTTTTAAAGTTTTAAACCTACTTTACCTTTCTCCTAATCCTATCTTCCTACCTCACAACAAAAAAATAAGTACATGGCTAATTAACCAACACTAAAACATATCACACTCTTTAATACATTAAACCAAAAAAATCTTAAAATTAAAGAAATCTTAAATTAACAACCAAAACCACTCCACAAAATTCATATTTCCACCCAGTTTCAAACTAAAACCACCACATTGACTATAGAAATTTTCATCAAATTCTGTGTATGATCTCTTTTGGTGCGCCATTTCTCAGGGACAAGTGGGAATTTTTAATAAGATGGGATATTGGGAAGGAATTCCTGGCTGGGAGGGTGCCCAGAGAATCTGGGGATCCCTGGAAGTGTCCAAGGGGATTTGGGATGGGCTTTGGAGCACCCTGGGATAGTGGAAAGTGTCGCTGCCCAGCCCTGGATGATCTTTAAGTTCCCTTCCAAACCATTCCATGATTCTAAATATTCAGTTTATCATTAAATATCATTATCCCTCGTGTTTGGGGAAGGGAGTTCTTATTTCCTTCAAACCCTTAGGAAATGTTGGAGCCAAAGCTGAGGTGCCATTATTGCTGTGGTGGAGCTGATGCTCTGTGGAATAAACAGTGAATATTTCCATTTTCTGCCTGGTTGATATTTAAATTCAAACTGTTGGAATATTAAGATGATCTTTGTTCAGTCTGAACAGTGAGAGGGAAAATATTTGCTATTAGAATCTGAAGCACAAAAAACTTTCAGAATTTTGAGCCTGTAAACTAAAATTTAGAATTAAACATAAGATTTAATCTGAAACCTTGAAAAAGGCTTCCAGACTTAGGTGCTAAAAGCAAAAATGTAAATTTATAGTTTAGAACAAAAACACGTTAAACTAAGTTTAAAAAAAATTTAGAGTTTTAAAGTTTAAAATATAGAAAAAATAAAGTAACTGCAATAAGTAGACAAAGAATTTAAAATACAATACTATGAGTTTATGTGTTATAATTGACTAAGAAAACTTACACTGTAGTATAAGTCCATAAACCAGAATATTTCAAAATTAAGTTAAAAACATAAATACCCTTATTAACAGTGTTTTATTAGTCAATAACTCTTTAAAAAGTCTTATAACTAAAAGTCTTGTAACCTTCTAAACCATACTATAACAATGTAAACCAAACTCACCCTTCCTACCTGTGTAAAAAATTAAAAAATAAACCACATCATCAAAAACAACTCAAAAATCCCATCTCAAATTCCTTCCAAAATTCCCCACAAGTAAATTATCACAATTTACCACTGGCCTGCTTTTTTGTAATTAACTCCTTTTATATCTCTAAATAGACAGAGAGGGTGTGGGCAAACACATGCCAAGCAATATAAATAGAAAGTTTCAAAGTCCAGCTTTCCAGAAATCTCCACAGTTCTTACAGCTCTTAAGGATTTTAATGCTGAAATAATATTCCTCATGTACCACGTGAGTAAAAGGCCCAAATATAACAGGTATCAAAAAAGTAACTCCCGAAATATGTGAAATAATGGTTTATTTTTGGATTCTGGTTTTTATCATCCATTAAATGCAGCTCTGCCTGTGCTGGGGAGAGGAGGAGGGAAATGAAGTGGCTCTGAGTGACACCTGTGTGTCTGCCAGGATGGGCTGACTTTGCTGTTTGCTGTTGTTGTAAATTCCCAACCTTTTTTCCTCTTGAGTAAATTTCCTGCCAGCTGCTCTCACTAAAAGGGTTTTATCTCCCTTTCCTGCTGAGGAGTACTCAGGGTAGTCACCTGGTGTAGGTTTGTTCCAGGAAAGGTTATTCCACTTTCTGCTGCTTTTCCAAGCAAAAGAGAAGAACCTCAAGTTGAAACGAATTCCATAGAATAAAACCATTATTTCATTTTGGGGAGACAAGAATTTGCCTGATCCTGAAAATATCCCAAATGTCCACATGCTCTGGAACATCTGTGCTGGTTTTCAGCTTCATTTTTCTGCCTCTGTTGAGGTCTGGATTGAAGGCACTCGAGACCACAGTTCACATTCTGGCTCAGGTGTTCATTATTTCTTATCCATGTTACAGTCTCACAGCAGTGAGTTCTGCAGTATTTCACTAAGAAATCACAAAATGGAGCCCTGTCTCTCTCTCTACAAGGCCTTTTAAGAATAAGCTGTCCAATTAAGAGATGGCACCTAAATTATTTTTACTTTTAACCCAATAACCAACTACCTGTGCCTGCAATGGGGACTTTTTTATCCAATGACACAAAACCACCCAAACCCAGGGAGAAGAAGGTGAAGAAGAAGGAGCAGCCTCCACCCTAAACCCTCCATCCTGCTTTATATCTATTACTGTATTCTAAACCCTTAAACTCTGAGTTTCCCACCCTGTGATATCACACACTTCTATTCAAACTGCACACCCACAATCCCAGTTCTGTCATTCCATTTTGGAAGCTTCTCCAGGGCCTCAGGTCAATGCAGTGTTCTCTTGGGATCAGTGCCTGGCAGCACAGAAAGTCCCAAATTCTCAGCATCCAGGGTTCCAACACATCTGTTTGTGTTTGCCCATTGAGCAAAGCCTGCAGTGCCCTTGACTTGCAAATTTTCTTTTTGATTGTCTCTGACTTGAAGAGAAAACTGATTGATTTCCCTGCTGAATTGCTCTGGTGGCTCAAGGAAAGGAGTTCCTTTTCCCAAGAAGGGAGGCACAGTTTTTTCTAAAATTTTTCTAAATTTTTTTCGGGGAGGCCCTGGCACAGGTTTTCCAGGGAAGCTGTGGGCTCCTCAGCCCTGGAAGTGCCCAAGGCCAGGTTGGACAGGGCTTGGAGCAGCCTGGGACAGTGGAAGGTACTGGAACAAGATGATCTTTAAGGTCCCTTCCAACCCATTCCACAATTCCCATGAAGGGAGATATGAGGAAAGAGAAATCTTTAATTCTTTCTTTATTCCCTAAAAGCTGAGATGCTCTTCTTGTCACTTCCCTTTTTCCCCTGGAGATGGGATAATCTGGGATACCTTGTCCCAGTCCTGTTCTTTGACTTCCTATTCCCTCCTCTAAGCAGACTTACACCAGGCTTTTCTAAATTTTCCATGGCTGATCCCAAATGAAAACTCATCTGCAGAGTTCTGCTGTACCAAAATGCAGTTAGGAGTTCAAACTCTTCTCAACATTCTCCTCAAGCTTTAATAAACAGCTATTAGATATTTTATATTTCATATTATAACTATTTCTACTACTCTCCTTTCTCCTCCAGGCTTTGCAGAGTAACCTGAAGTACTCTCTACTGCCCAGAAGATTGATCATCAGTAAAAGATTATCCCAGTGCTTGCACCCAGCCCTGCCCAGTGGGGTGCACTTAAAGGCTTTAGAAACCTATGAAATCATCTTTAAAATCATTGGCACAAAATGGCTTGCCAAGGATTTATTCTTGTACAGGTAATTAGATTTTTTTTTTCTAAGGCACAAAATGGCTCACTAAGAATTTCTTTTTGTACATGTAATTTTAATTTTTTTTTCCTAAGGCATAACCATCTCAATCTATTCAAATTAACTCTCATTTTGTCTTTCTTTTGGATTCAAAGCTCTGGTTTGTTCCCTCTGCTGGCAAATGCAGCAATGTCAGTGAGACCTGTTCTCCTTGGCTTGTATGAGAAATATTTTCTCCCTCTCCAAAAATCCCTCCTGCCTGGTCTCCAGGCCTTTGTAATTGGGCTGCTGCCTGGCTTGGAAGAAGGATCAGAAATTTATGACAGGTAATATCAATTATTCCATATTCATTGAAGCAATATCCAGTATTTTGATTTTTTAGGGAATTCTCAAGACATTTCTATCAGATTTCTATAAATAAAAGAACTTCTAAAGGGGAATGAATGGTGGGACCTGGAAAGATGTTGAAGTAGAAAAACCCTTTCCTCTCTGTTTTCATCCTAGGAGGAGAAGATAAGAGGAACATGAGGGTTAAAAAAAAGAGGAAAAGAAGGGTTTAAAAAAAGAGAAGAGGAAAAGGAGGGTTAAAAATAGAAATGCTGAGAGAAAAGAATAAAAAATTTCTTAAAGCTCCTCTGACTCCTAAATAATTCACCTGACTCCTCAAACCACTGCTCTGGAGATAAATTCTATTTTAATTCTGTAACATGAGAGAGCAGCTGAATTCTTTCTAATATTTCTATATAATCTGGCAAAAATATGGAGCAGGGAGTTAAAGGGAATTGCAAATGAAATTTCAAGATTTTACCTCTGGTTTTGCACCTTTTTCCCTATTTTTGATGGCATCATTTTCCTCTTTGAACAAAGAGGATCTGACATGTATTTCATAAATCTTGAGAAATATTTATGCTAAAATTAATTTAATTGGGTTTTTTGTGAAATACCAATTTACATGAGGGAGTTTTTCTTTTGTTTACACATTGCAATGATTCTGTGTTAAGAATATCTTGTCAGAAGATATGTTGGGTTCATTTTCAATTATTTTTCATGAGAGGCTTTCAGTCAAGTGTTTTCAGAACCTTCAATATTGAGGACTAAAATTAATCCATCTCCTGCTGTTCCTGAAAGTGAACAAAGTGCTGAGGTTGTGCTTCAACGCAGACACCATTTCCAGCTCCAAATTTCCCTGAGTTTGTGCACTCACACAGAAAATGGAAGAAAAAAACTGCTTTGAGGGATTTTTTAATAAAGAAATGGAAAAAAACCCATCACACTGGGAGGTGTTTCCTCTTTGAGCTGGGCTTTTCCTCTTTTCTAAATCTTGCATTCCTCACGTGAGGTTTCAATTCCTCCTTTATGGTAAAATACCAAAGTGTTCCAGAGCAGGACTGTGCTCCAGTCACAGGAGTCTCAGAGGAATTCATTTCAGGGTGTCCTGTATTGCAATTTATTGTTTTATCTCATGGAATCCTGGTATGGTTTGGGTTGGAAGCGACCTTAAAGATCATCCAGTTCCACCCCTGCCATGGCAGGGACACTTTCCACTGTCCCAGGCTGCTCCAAGCCCTGTCCAACCTGGCCTTGGCCACTGCCAGGGATCCAGGGGACTTCACATCTCTTTTTTTCTTTATCCAGTCCCTTAAAAATTGACCCTGTTGGTTTGAAAGTAGGAATTTTTAGGATAACCTCCAGCTCCCAGATGGACAAAATTGGCTTTCAGATTTTAACATCTGCTTAAATGACTTCCAGTTTAGCTTTTCACACCTCTGACAATAAACATTCTGCAGTCACAGGTGCTGCAGTTGTTTGGTCAGAGCTAAATATTTGCAGATATTTCCTGAAGAACTTCACTGTGTGTGAACAGAGACTTTGTTTTAGTGACAAAGAATTCAGTGGATTTGATTTTTTTTGTGCAGTCAGATTCATCAATCACCACCTGGGATAGGAGAAGGTTCCCTGCCCATGGCAGGGGGTGGAATGAGATGATTTTTGGGTCCCTTCCAGCCCAAACCATCCCAAGATTCTGTGATAAAGGGAAATATTGACAACACAAAGCTGCAAAACATCAAATAAATTATATAAACTCTATATAATTCCATTTCTGTGGTATAAAATCAGCTAACAAAGGGTTTTTTTCTCTGGCTGTGTACAGAACAGATGCTCTGCTTGTGAAGCTGTCCCTGCTGATGGGCCAGGAGGTGTTTTATGGAGCTCTCTGGGGCAGTGTCCTGGGCAGCCCCTCCATCAGGCTCCCTGCTTCCCTCTTCGTTGTCAGCCACATCAACAGGGAACTCTCTGGCAAACAGCAGAAATTCATGCTTGGCACTGATTACAAACTCACTGTAAGTTCATTTTACACCCTTGTTTGGGTTTGAAAAGCCAGGTGTCTGCTAAGGAAGGCAGGAGTCTCCTTTGACATGGAAAATGTAAACCCTCTCCTCCAAATTATTGGCCAGGTGGAGATAGAACACACACCCCCAGGCACAGTTTGTAACCTGAGACAACCCCATAATCTCAGCCTTGTCTGGATTAAATTAGGATGCCATGCAATTAAAAATATTTTGAAAAGAGAGACTGAAAGATCCATACTCTAAAATTGCTCCATCCATTTAATTTGAAGGGCAGCTTTTCTGGTTTCAGTGTTTGATGTGCAGTTCCCAAATTGTTTGCTGTTCTGAGGTTTTGTGTCTTTTTATTTTTCCAGTGAAATGGAAATCTTCTGTAGGGAGTAATTTGTGTCGAGTGATGGAATAAGTGTAAGGCCAATTAGAGTATATCTGCATTTTGGGAGGTTTTACATCTTGTAACTCTGGGACATTCTGTACTCCTACAAACCCAATATTAACAATTTTTTAATAGCCACAAAAATTTGTTTTAACTCACTTTGGGTGGAGGAGTTAAATTGTAATTGTCCTCTTATTTAAACAGAATGTTATTCATAGGTAGCCAAATTTTCTTCCTTTCTATCCAGTGATTGTTTGATAGCAAAATCAAATAAAATGTTGTGTTTTCCTTCTCCAGATAAAGTCTTTGTGCGTGTCAGTGCTGGATTCCAATGTCCTTGTGCAGAGGAACACTCTGGAAGCAATCCTCTTCTTTTTCCCATTTTATACAGCTTTGGTAAGGGGATTATTTTGGGATTTTTTCCATGCTGGGCTGAAGGTCTGTTCTGTGCAATCAGCCCAGCTCCCACCTCTGGTTTTGCCAAATGGCTGAATTTTGAACCCTCAAAACCTCAAAATCCATTAATTTTGGGATTTCTTGTGCTTCATCAATTTGAGCAGTGGAGGAGACTCTGCTGCTTCTCAGAGTCTTTACAGCTTCCAAGGCTGAAGAAATGATTTCACAGGGGCTTTTGGGGGGTATTTGGGATGTGCTTGAACTAGTCAAGCGTGAGCAGCTCATGCAGAAAAAATACGGAGTTTATTCAAGTAGGATTTTAGAATTTAGAATTGTCCACATTAAGTGATTTCTGGTAAAGACCAGGAGAGAAAAACTTACTTAAAAGTTATTCCCATTGTTTCCTCACCTCCCTGTAGGACAGGCAGTATTTAGGATGGAGGAAGAATTTTTAAGTCTTAGGGAGAGGAGAAGCTTTGGGCTGAGCTCAGGGTGGACTTGCAGGGCCTGAAGGAGCCCCAGGAAACCTGGAGAGAGACAATTTCCAGGGAATGGAGGGACAGGACACAGGGAATGGCTTCAAATTAAAAGATTGTGGAGTTAGGTGGGGTATTGGGGAAAATCGTTCATCCCTGGGAGGGTGGGCAGGGGCTGGGATGGAATTCCCAGAGCAGCTGTGGCTGCCCCTGGATCCCTGGCAGTGCCCAAGGCCAGGTTGGACATTGGGGCTTGGAGCAGCCTGGGACAGTGGAAGGTGTGGGAATGGATGGGCTTTAAGGTCCCTCCCATCCTGTGACTCCATTATCCCACTTTTCTCAGATCCCTTGAGATTGTGTCACATTTCTTTGACTGATGACATGGATAAGGGAATTGAGTCTTTCATTAGTAAATCTGGAGACCACACTAAGCTGAGAGCTGTGTCCATCTGTTGGAAGGTAGAATGGCTCTGCAGAGAGACCTGGAATGGTTGGATGGATGGGCTGAGTCCAACAGGATGAAGTTTAATAAGTCCAAGTGCCCAGCCCTGCCTATTCCAACATGGTCATTCTGGGAATTCTGTGAATTCTTGACCTTTTTAGCACACAAACCATTTTCTTGTTGATGCTTTGTTATCTTTTCCCCAATACATTATCATTCCCAGTTCAAAAGCCCAGCCCATCACCAGTTTGACTCCTTTCAGTGCTCACCAGCAGCTGAAAAATCTTTCTTTTCCACCCTAGGACTGCAAGGAAAGCACCATCGTGCTCAGGAGGGCTGATCTGGTTTATATCCTGTCAGCAGCCACTCAGACACTGCTGAGGAGAGACATGTCCCTCAACAGGAGATTGTATGCATGGCTGCTAGGTACTGTGCAAAATCCAAGGATTTTCGATGTTCTGCATACTTGAACATCTTGAACAACTTGAAAAAAAAAATCTGTGTTTAAAATTGAAATACACTTCTTTAGCTGTTAATGAATGATGATAAAGTAAATTGGTGTTTATTTGCTGTTTATTAAGTGCCTTAATACAATTAAATATTTGGTAAACAGGGCTTCTCTTCAGAGGTGAATTTATTTCTCCCTGAATGCCAGGGTATCTGATAAATTCTGATTCCACCCCCAGCTAGTTGTGAAGTGGTTCAGTGGACTAAAAGGACTAAAAGTTACTATTTTAATCTTATTTTTCTGGAAGAAATAGTGATTCCCACTGTATTTGGCCTTGGTTTTGATTTATGTGTTTTGCTGAACATCTGGATGCCCTCAAACTGGGACCTGTGGGCTGTTGAAATACAAAAGATTAAAAATGCGGTGTAAATTCAATATAAATCCCTCAGTGCTCTGTGCTGCTCTCTGAACTCCTCCTGCCTCTGTTTTCTTGTAGGTTCTGATATTAAAGGTGGCACTTTTGCTCCAGACTCCACCACTTCTGAAGACCATGCTGTTTACTTCTTTGGAAAATACTCTAAAGATCTTCTGGTTGAGGTTGGTGTTCATTTTATACAGATATATTCCAGATAAATTAATGATCCTTGCAATTTTAACTCAAACTGTGTCCAGAATTATTCCCAATTATTGGTTTGTCCTTCTCTCTTTGTCCCTGTGGTTACATATCCATCTATCTCAAAGCCTCTGTGCTGTATTTATCCCAATATTGGATTGCTTATGGAATCTAAGGAAACCAAAGGGAAGCATCTTGGCTGAACTACCTGAATTATTTTAAAATGTTTCTCTGGATAAGATCAGCCCTTGAGTAGAGACGATGGGAGGATGGAATTGATTTGTTTACCCTGGATGGAAATTAGACTTCATTTATAGCCAGTCCTAGTGTGGTAAAACATTGGAAGGGGCAGTCCAGGGCAGTGCTGGGGTCACCTCCCCTGAAAGTGCTGGAAACTGTATGGATGTGACACTTGGGGACAGGTTTAGAGGTGAACACAGGGGTGGTGCTGGGTCATGGTTGAACTCTGATCTTGGAGGTCTTTTCCAATGTTAACAATTCTGTGATTTGGCCCAAATACCCAAGTTTGGTTTTTTTTACTGGAGTAGAGCAGGAAGTGGAGAAGCAGGGGAGGCTCAGGTTGGAGACTGGGAAAGAAAATTTCCCTGGCAGAGTGGTCAGGCCTTGGGCTGAGCTGCCCAGGGAGGTTTGGAGTCGCTGGAATTGTCCCAGAGGAGTCTGGATGTGGCCCCTGGGGACAGGGTTTGGGGTGATGGCACTGGCTGATCCTGGAGGGGTCTTCCAGCCTTTGTAATTCTGGGGTTCTTAGCCTTGAGCTGGCATCTCAGGGCCACTTTAAAAAAGCACTTCCAGCCTTGTGTCAGTATTCAGCTCCATTTGTTCCTTGGGTGGATCTGCTCTTCCCTCTCTATGTCTGTCCATGCAGCACCAGCAGGATGAGGCTCTGCCCATCCTTACTTCAAGGGCAAATTCAATTTTCTGCACTAAAGAATTAAACCAAAGTGACTTGACAATTTTTAAAAAATATTTTGGGTGGGGAATAATGTTGCCAAAGACGTTGTTTCTGTTAGAAATATATTGATTAATCTAATTTAGAAAGTAAATAAGAGACATTGCCTCTCATGTGGATGTGTTGCTTGGCTTCCTGACAATGGATTAATCCAAAGTACAAATAAAGGGATAATAAATCCTTTTTAAACCAGGGATATTTAGCTAAACTGCATTATCCAGTTTAATCTTTCCAGTCAGAACATAAAGTTTGATTCCTTGAGCCTTAAGCCATTAAGACTCTCGCTCCCTTTAGAAATGGATTTAACAATGCAACAATTATTTAAAGGTATCAAATCAAACATAACAAATTTTGACCTTTTCTGCTATTCTTAGTCACTTAAACTTCTATATTTTCATATTTGAAAGCACTCTTTGCAATGCTTTATACACTACTTTTATTTTTTTTTAATTATTCCAAGTTTAGGGCACTGAAATTATTATTTCTTCTCCTCCTCTGTAGACAACTCTTGGATTCTTTTTTCCCTTTCCTTGCAGGGCCACAGGTTGTTGGGGATCTCTTCTTGGAAGTTCTTAGAGCTTTTTATTCCTACTGCAAAGACACCCTGGGTTCTGATCTCAAACTCAGCTACAATCAAAGTGGCAACACCCTGGCAAGGTATGAAAAATTTCCAACTCTGAGCTGAAACTGGATCATTTTTTAAGTTAAATGGTTAAAATGAAGGAGTTTAATGAAGTTTTGGGTTGTTACAAAGTGACTTTCTGGCCAGAGGATGAAATTTTTCTCTGGTTTCCCCTTTTCTCTACACACAATGAATTTCTCTTGGATTAGCAGAGAAAAAATGAAGTTTGCTGCATGTGATGGGTGTTGGGTAACCACAATGACATCAGGCTGCTGACAGAGCTCAGCCTTGTGATTCCCATCATCTGAAAGATGCTCCAGCTATTCCAGAATGATTTAGCCTTTGATTAAAAAAAAAAAAAAAACAAAACAAACAAACAAAAAGCACCAACTTTTTTTAGCTTTTAGAGAAAAGGGAAAAGACATTTTCAACTCCATCAGCTCACGTGATGTGAATCCTCACTGACATCTGCTTTTCTTTTCCTTTTCTCTCCCTTCCAGTGCAATCAAAGAGAACAAAAATGCTTCAGAAATTGTCAAAACAGTGAATTTGTTGATCACATCCTTAAGCACTGATTTCCTCTGGGACTACCTGACCAAATGCTTTGAAGATTGTTTCAGGTGTTTATGTTGTGCTCTCAAAAATGCCACTTCAGAGCTGTCTGTTCAGGACAATAATATTTACTAAAGCTTTTAAAGGACATCACACGTAGTAGAACCAGCCAGGTCTGTAAGTTGTGTCCACAAATAATTCAGGAGTGCAACCAGGTAAACAACTAGGTGGGAATTTCAACCTGGGAACAAAAGAAATTCCTTTCAAATCAACAGAAGAAGGAAAAAGGGTTGGGAAGGGAGGTGGAGAGGTGTTTCTAGAAGAAAAATAAAGATACTAAATGGGCTTTAAGTTCTCTTCCAACCCTCTGATTAGATGATATCTCTTTTTTTATCATTTTCTAACTCTAAGAAAGAAGATTCTGCAATCTGAAAATTAGCAGCTCTTCATCATACCACACAGAGTTGAGGTTGTTTTGACAGAATATTTTCCCCTGCTCTGTTAAAAGCCCTTTGCCTCAGAGCTGTTCAGTATTTTGTGCTGATTTTAGCAAAGCTTTTTGCTTGTAACCAGAATTTTGCCATGAAAAAACCCCCTTCCATAAGAATGTTTCTTTCACTCCAGAAACAAATCCACGGGGATGAGGTATCCTCTGGAAAATGTGAGCACTCCTCCTACCATTTCAGAGCTCTGCACTCTGCTGGTGTTCCTGCTGGATGTGATTCCTCTGGTAAGGCTGGGCTGAACAATCCCTGCTCAGTGGTGGAGGAGATGGGATAACTCCTTTAAACATTCATTTTGCATTTCAGGAGCTCTACTCAGAAGTGCAGACTCAGTACCTGCCCCAGATGCTCAGTTACATGGTGCAGTCTCTCCTGGAAAACATGGAAGTCTTGGGACTGCCAGAACTCACTCATGCCTTAAAAACCTGTTTTAAGGTGCTCAGCAAGGTGCAAATGCCCCCTTCCTACCTGGACATCGAGACAGGCAGTGGCAATGGGGTAGGTGATTTTCACCCCCTCAGAGATGGGTAAAACCCTTTAAAACTCTTGGTTTAAATGATTTTGGGACAGAATTTAAAATGCTAATTCTCCTTCAGCCTCGATGACAATTGCACCTGAAGGAGCCACAGGAAAGATGGAGAGAGACAGTTTCAAGGGAATGGAGGGACAGGACAGCAAACTAAAAAAGAGTAGCGTTCAATGGGATATTGGGAATTAGGAATTCTTCCCTGTGAGGGTGGGGAGGGGCTGGGCTGGAATTCCCAGAGAAGCTGTGGCTGCCTCATCCCTGAAGTGTCCAAAGCCAGCTTGGACAGGAGCTTGGAGCAGCCTGGGACAGTGGGAGGTGTCCCTGCCATGGCAGGGGTGCCACTGGATCATTTCTAAGATCCCTTCCTACCCAAACCTATAATTCTATGAAATTTTTAAGTACAACAATAAAGATTTTTTGAAGCTTCCCTTTTTGGCTCCTTCCAGGGCACTCTGTACCCTTGTTACTCTCACTGGGTATTCAGTTCTGGCCTATTTGAATTATTTGTGGCACTCAAGGAGTTTAGTCTTGTCTGCCTCTGAGAAGGATGGGATCTAAATGGTTTTGGAAACAGAATGCAGTAGCTAAAAACTGGAGTTACCAAATGCAGCCCAGCTTCACAGCTGGTTAGGTCTGCAGGGCTTTCAATGAATATTTCAGTGGAACACAATGGGACATTGTTGGTGTGCAAAGGACCATGCTGAGGAATGAGGAATAAATGGAATAAAGCAGCCCCAGGAGCACAGCCTGCCAAATCTGCCAGCAGAGCAAATACCTGCATTTGAGCAGAAATAATGCAACAGATGGAGCACTGCTCTGGGGGGAAATGGGTTTTAAGGGAGCACATCCCTCTGTTTGATGAGTCAGTTGTGTGAGGTTTATACAGATATTTATATATGATAAATATATATCTGTTATATATTTTATGTTATATATTTATACAGATATTGGGTTTTAAAGGGAAATTAATGGAGCTGTTTATAAACAACTGTGATCCTGAAACTGGGAATCACAAACAGCAATTTTTCCTTTTTCTGTCATTGCTGTTCTCCAAGTGAAACCTGTGTTGGCAGTGCCACATTAACCATATCCCTGCTGCTGTTGCAGAGTCCAGTGCCAAAGGAAGATCTGGACATAACCCTGGAGACCAAACCTGGGCTGCCGGAGGAGGAGGAGGCTCCATTCCCCACCCTCAAGTCAGAGGACAGTGGCATTGGCCTGAGTGCCTCCTCCCCAGAGCTGTGCCAGCACCTGGGGGTGCCCACGGTGACCCTGGAGAGAGATGATGTCTGGAAAAAAGGAGGGAGCATCCAGAAAACTCTGCACTGCATCCAGGAGCTGGTGGCCAAGTTTGCCAGCAAATACATTTTTGGGATGCAGCTCCAAGAAATGAGTCCTGAAGGGATTGCAGCAATAAATCTGAGCGGGAAGGAGAAAAAGGAGAATGGCTACAGGTTACCTGAGAGTGGCAACAAGAAAAAGAGTCCCTGGGATGGCAAGCAAATCACTGTGCCTCAGGTGAAACAAATGCTCTCAGAGCTGTTCTCAGCCCGGGGCTCGCCCTTCAGGAGCAAGAATTCCACTGCTCTCCTCTCTGAACACAAAAAGGAGAAGGAGGAGGAGGAGTGGGACCTGGAGCTGGTGCTGGGACCCCTCAGAGGGGACTGCAAGGAAGCTTTCTCTGCAGCTTGTCACCTGCTGCTGGATTGTACCACATTCCCAGTTTACCTGTCTGAGGAGGAGATGGAACACTTGTACCTCTCTCTGTTTCAGGACCCTGGTAAGAGTTTTCCTTTCCTGAGGATTTTTAGGATGGAAACAGTGAGAGCTTGGCTATTTTCAGGACCAGAGGCACTAAAAACCCTTGGACAGGGCTGAAAGCAAATTGGGAATTAAATCGTCACCCACCTCAGCATCTCGGGTGTGCCTGGCAGCTGAGTTTTGCCAAGCTTCTTAAATTCAAATTTTTTTTTTTTAAATCCACTGTAAAATTTGGAGCTGAAGGGATACAAAGTCATCCTGGCCTGTACAGCCTTGCATGGTTCAGGATTTTCAGGATACCCATCCCTGTTGTGCCCTGTTATGCATGGGTTATGCCCCCAAAAAAGGATGTTGTAGAGGAAGATGGATGTAGGTGGAAAATTTGAGCTCTAAACCATAACAGAGGCAAAATCATCTCTTATCCCAAACCCTCAGCATTTAAAGGAGTTCAGTGTAACAAATAAGAATAATTTTGTGCAGCCAGAGGCCTGTTTGTTCTTGGATTTCCAGTTCATTCCTTAGCTTTAGCAGGAGCTGCTATTGACCTGAAGGTTAACTCACAAACAGGTTTGTGGGGAATGGAGAGGTGGGAAACTGAAAAATTAGGTCCTGTTCCTCACCTCACTCCATATTCCTGCTGTCTGATGATATTCCCATCATCTCCATGGCTGAGCATGGCATGGACATGGAATACTTCCATTGCTCCCTCAGGAAAAGATGGCTTGGATTGATGTCAGCTACTTCAGTTATATATAATTTATAAATCCTGAAAGGAGGGGCCTCAGTGCTACTGGAAGAGCATCCATGGATCCTGAGCCCTCTGGAACTGGTTGTGACAATGGCAGCTGGAAAACAAACCAGCAGCTCTAAATAATAAACATATTAATTGGGAATATTATATGTTATTGGATTGGGAATAAACATATAGGGCAAAACAGAAATCCTGGAAGTTTTGGGGTCCTGCAAGAGCTTTCTGCTGGGAGAAGTAGGGAAAGCATGGAAAGGTTGTGGCTGCCTCATCCCTGGAAATGTTCCAGGCCAGACTTGGAGCACCCTGGGAGGGTGGAAGGTGTCCCTTCCAACCCAAACCTACTGTGATTCCATGAACTGTTGATGACAGGATCTGGGCAGTCATTTTGGTCCTGTGACCTTGCTTAAAGGATTTTTGGGAGTATGACCCCAACCCTGAGGTTGTTTCATGTGGATTCTTTTGCTTCTTTCTTTTGCCAAGGTCAGGATTAAAGATGTGAGAGGGTATTTCTCGTTGGGACTCAGATGTTTATCAGTTCTTGTCTCTGTTACAGTCTCACAAACCCTGAGTTCTGCAGCACTTCACTCTGACAAACTAAAAATGGAGCCCTGTCTCTCTCTCTACAAAGCCTTTTAAGGAAAAACTGTTTAATTAAGAAATGACATCTAAATTTTTTTTACTTTTAACCCAATAACCAACCACCTGTTCCTGCAATGAGGACTTTTTTATCCAGTGACACAAAACCACCCAAACCCAGGGAGAAGAACATGAAGAAGGAGCAGCCTCCACCCTAAACCCTCCATCTTGCTTTATATCTATTACTTACTGCCCAGCTACGCTGACCCTCTAATTCATAGAATCCTGAGATTCTGAGGCCATTTGGGAATGCCTTCTGGCAACAGGAAGCCAGGAAGGAAATGGCTCTTATTATGAATATAATTACGAATATATTCATATTTAGTTGTTTGCTCTTTTTCCCTAGAGAGTTGCCTGTGTGCTCTGGAATCAGCTGAACAAGGAGACTCGGGAGCACCACATTGCCTGTGTGGAATTGTTCTACAGACTTCACTGCCTGGCTCCCTCAGCAAATATCTGTGAGGACATCATCTGCCAGGCCCTTCTGCACCGGGATAAAGTAGGTCCTGTGTAGCTGCAGCTCTCTTCACAGAGAGCAAACAAACACAGCTTCTCAAGGATATTGCTTGGGAATTGCAGTGAGGAACTTTAGAGAAAGAGAAAACAATTCTTATCTTTGTTTTCTGTTTTTGTTGTTTTTATACATGTGGAATGTGTTAAGAAGATTGTTTACCTGAAGGGATTTGGTAATTATATTCTAGTGATAATTGTTTATATTAACTAACCAATCACTCGAAGCCGTGTCCTGACTGTCTGGAGACAGTCACGAGTTTTTCTTTAGTATCCTTTTAACAGTGATAATTGTTTATATTAATTAACCAATCACTCGAAGCTGTGTCCTGACTGTCTGGAGACAGTCACAAGTTTTTCTTTAGTATCCTTTTAATATCTCTTTAGTATAGTTATAATATGGTATTAATGTAATATAGTATAGTTTAATAAAGCAATTGTTCAGCATTCTGAATCAGTAGAGTCAGTACCAATCATTCCCAGATGTTGGAATCATCCTGACTCTGCTATAGGTCTGCATGCACTGAATACCCTCCAGCACTGTAGAATTGTTCCAGTGCTTCCCAAAAGTCCTGCTGTTCCCTTCTCCATGTGTTCACTCCCGTGGTTGCTGTGTTTTCCAAGAGTCTGGCAGGCTCTGTCCATGCTTTTACAATTCCCTGGGATTTGTTCATCATGGGATTAGTGCTGGACTTAATCCCTGGGTACAAAATCTAGCACTAGATATTAGCTGGAATTTTTAGTTCAAACTCAAATCCTGTCATTTTTGTCAGGATTTCCCACTGCCCCAGCTCTACCAGTATCTGTAAAATCACTTTATTTTTACAGTATTTGGTCTCACAATAAGCTGTATTTTAAGAGAGCCAGTTATTAATTATTTTCCTTTTCTAATATAATGACAGCACAGTTCTTTAACAGCTGACAGAGCATTTTGCACAATAAAACTTTAACCAGTCTTTCCCATTGTTTTCCTGTCCTTGCAATATTGCAACATAAAAATTTGCAAACCTTTTTAAAGCTTTTCACCAGTAACCACTGCGTGGATACCAATGTATTCCCATTTTCATCCAACTTGGAAACCTCCCTAAATCTCCTTTTTTTCCTTGCCAAGGGAACAAGGCTGGAAGCTCTGTTCAGATTCTCTGTCATGTGGCACCTGACCAGAGAGATCCAAGGCAGCAGAGTGACTTCCCACAATCGCTCCTTTGATAGGTATTTCCACTTCCATTTGCATTTTTATATTTAATTATATCATGTTTTATTCTTTTTTCTGAGCTGGGGAGGTGTTCTCTGTAGGGAGAGTAAAAAAAATGAACAAAAGGAATATTTTCTACTTCCTTGGAGTTTATCTTTGCAGGACACTCTGTGCATGCTGTGGTTTCTTTTGGGTGAAGGAAGTTGCTGTAAAAATAGAAAGACCTTCATTAAGGAGGAGTAGAGATATTTTTTAATCTTGGAGTGAATTAAATTTGCCTTCCAAAGAAAATAACACCAACTCCTTGTAAAAACAAAAATCTTAGTTTAGTTTTACTTCCTATGAGATAAAATGAAATAAAAGCAAATAAGTATGGGAAAGAATTTAAAAAGTGGGAGGATTGGTGAGGCCTTGCTTGTACAATTCCTGAGCTCAGTCCAGGAAAGCTGCTTGGCCAAAGCTGTTGGGAGCAGACCTGAGCCATTAAGCACGCTCTGGGTGTGCTCCCTGCCCGGATTTTATTGCTTAATTTAACTTTTTTTAGGGATTTCAGCTGTCCTTGGTGCTGGTGATGCCTTGGAGTGGCTCCCTAGAACAGAGGCTAGACAAGATTAAGAGAATAAGAGCAGGTATTTATTAAAGGCCTCCACAGACACACCTTGGGCACTCAGAAGCCTCCCAGAGGCCTCACCCAACCTGGATAATGGTCACCAGTGTTTCACACAATTATCACTTTGGTCCATTTACATATCAGGGGTTAATTCTCCAATTACAGCTTGAGATAATGAAGTCATTAACCCCCAGTTTGCTTCCTCCCAATTCACTTTTTTTTTATATTTTCAGGTCCTGAGGCTGTAGGGTGTCCTTGGGTGTCAGGCCTAGCGGGATTGCTTTGTCTGAGCAAAATGTGAAGACAGTGATGCCTTGGGAGGCTGCCTGGAACAGAGGCCAGGGAGTGCTAAAGGAATAAAGCAGGGATTTATTAAAAAGCCTTTAAAGGATACACTTTGGGCAGCAAAACAGCCCAGCTGAGGCTACACCCAAGAGGGACCCAAGGTGGACCCTGGGTCATGAGTTTTCACACTTTTATAGGTTTTGGTCCATTTCCATCTTGGGGTTAATTGTCCTATTACATCTTCAGGTTATGAAGTCCCATCCTCTCAGATTGCTCTCCTCAATTTGCTGTTTGTACTTTTTTGGGGCCTGGAAAAGGATCGTTTTGTGTGAGTGAACTCTGAGGAGAACTTGCTGACACTTCATATGAGGTTCAGAGTTATACACTAATGCAGTGCAAAATCTGGAAAATATGAAATCTAAAACTTAAGGCATCAACAGTAACTAACACTTCATGAGGACTTTAGAGGTGTGCACTAATGTGTGAGAAACGGACTTCTAAGGATCCATTGTAAGACTTGTAGATCGGATTTGTAAGAATCCATTGTAGGACTTGTAGATCGGATTTGTAAGAATCCATTGTAGGACTTGTAGATCGGATTTGTAAGAATCCACTGTAAGATTTGTAAGAATGGATTTGTAAGAATCCAGGCACTAATCCATACACTAAAGTGTAATGTGTGAGAAATCCATTTCTCACATCAGCGCAGTGGAGGATTTAAACCCCGGACAAGCCCGAGTGCCGAGTTATCCGTGTTTTCCCGCAGGTCGCTGTTCGTGGTGCTGGACAGCCTGACGTGCTCGGACGGGGCCATCGGCGCGGCGGCGCAGGGCTGGCTGCTGCGGGCGCTGTCGCTGAGCGATGTGGCGCGGATCCTGGAGCCCGTGCTGCTGCTGCTGCTGCACCCCCGCACCCAGCGCACCTCCCTGGGCTGCCTCAGGCACCGCGCCTCCCCAGGTACCGCCCGGGCTGTGGTAAAAGGCAGGGAGAAATGATGAGGAGGACTCTGTTGGTATCAGAAGGCTAATTAATTGTTTTATTGTACTGTATTATTGTCATTCTTGCGCCGAGAATAACACAGGAACAGGCGGGAGGCGGTATTGTAGAAAGAGCAAGGAAGGCTTTATTCAAGAGAACAGCACAGTTTTATAGAGTGATACAATAGATTCTGTTTGATTGGTTAACAAAAACATCTTCCTCATACACTGTCCTTGAGAAGAACAGAAAGACGAAGTAGAAAAACACCACCTGCAGATTGCTTATACTTAACAAGTTATCACATTCTTACAACTCCCTAAAAGTTCTCACAAGCCAGTGTGAGAAGCACTTGCTGTTTCTCTCTCTCTGTCCCATTGGAATGCACATATTATTCTATACTCTATTACACTACATCTAAACTGAAACTGCACAAGCACTCAACTGCACTGAAGAGAATCTCGTGACTGCCTGCTGACCGACAGTCTGCACATGTGCTTGGCCCTGACAGGCCGAGGAAACACAGCACCATCACTGGGTGAACAGTCTGCATATTGCATTCTACTTTGGCACAAACACAGGTGCAGCAAATGAGATAAGAATGGTTTTGGTCATTCTTTGCTCTGCTTCTCTCACTGCTTCTCTCAGGTTCAGAGAATGTGAATCCCTCAGGGCCCTCTGGGGCACTGCCTCATCCATGAGATGAAGCCAGCGGGGTGAGGGCCAGCCCTGCCCTTGGGTCACAACAACCCCAGGGAGTTCCAGGCTGGGCAGAGGGGCTGGAAAGCTGGAAAAGCCCTGGGGGTGCTGGGGACAGGGCTGGACACGAGCCCAGGGGTGCCCAGGTGGGCAAGAGGCCACTGGCAGCTGGGCTGGATGAAGAATTGTGTGTCCAGCAGGAGCAGGGCAGGGATTGTGTGGTAATAACATATCCTCTGAACAGAGAGAGACATAGTTCTCTGCCAGGATTTTCCTGGGAAGCTGTGAGAAGCTGCACAGAAGCTTCAGAAAAATTCAGAGAAGAGAATGAAAAACAATTCTTCTCTCCATTTGCTGCAACTGTTGTTGTGTACATGTAGAATGTGTTATGGATATAATTTACCAACAAGTGATTTCTTAATTAGACACTGGATGGTGTTTAGAGGGATTGACCAATTAGACTGTCAGTAAGGGTTACGAACTTCTTAGTGAGATACTATAGTATACTATAATCATATAGTACAGCTTAATAAAACAATTGATCAGCCTGCTGCAATCAGAGTCAATATTAATTATTCCCCATTCAAGGGACCATTACCACAATAGGATTGTCCCTCTGTGCTGGCTCTGAGAGGCCCCTCGAGGGCTGTGCCCAGTTCTGCTCTTGCAGGAGAGACCTGGAGGGGCTGGAGCGTGTCCAGGGCAGGGAACGGAGCTGGGAAGGGGCTGGAGCCCCAGCAGGGGCTGAGGGAGCTGGGAAGGGGCTGAGCCTGGAGCAAAGGAGGCTCAGGGGGCCCTTGTGGCTCTGCACAAGTCCCTGCCAGGAGGGGACAGCCGGGGGGTCGGGCTCTGCTCCAGGGAACAGGGACAGGAGCAGAGGGAACGGCCTCAGGCTGGGCCAGGGCAGGCTGAATTTGGATATTAGGAAAGATTTCTTCATGGAAATGATGGTAAAACATTGGAAGGGACTGCCCAGGGCAGTGCTGGGGTCACCTTCCCTGGAAGTGTTGGAAACTCTGTGGATGTGACACTTGAGGACAAGTTTAGAGGTGAACAGCGGCATGGTACTGGGTGATGTTGGACTCTGATCTTGGAGATCTTTTCCAATGTTAACAATTCTGTGATTTGGCCCAAATACCCAAGTTTGGTTTTTTTAACTGGAGCAGAGCAGGAAGTGCAGAAGTTTCTGGAAGTTCCTGTCCCCTGTCCTGTTACCAGGCTGTGCTTTCAGCATCATTTCTTGGTGTCAGTTGACAAATAAATGTCCCACAATTAAAGCATCCACAGGGCTGCCATAGAAACACTGAGCTAATCTATTCCTTCCTTGTTCCACAGCATTTAATTAAGGAAAAAATTAGCTCTTTAATTAATTAATTAATCCCTCTGTTGCCATCCTTCTCATTGCCCTCCCGATCTCCACAAATATTTATTGTTCAGGAAGCATAAAAAAAGACAATTGTCACTCAGGGTGTCTCAGCCTAAAAGTGCTCTATGTTTTGATCCTGTTCTTTTTGCAGGACGTTAGCACTGCTCTTTAACCACTTTAAAAGTGAAACAATTCTTGCCTTAAGAATAATTCTTGTTCATTTTTTTAGTCACACTCATTACAATTAATACTGGACTGGAGCAAAGCAGCTTTCTAAACTTCTAAAAAAAATATTTATTAAATATAAAGCATGATGTGTTGACTAAATGAGCCTTAAAGGTCCCTTCCAAGCCTGACTGTGATATGATTTTATGTGTGAAATAGCAATCAAATTAATAAAATCTATTTTTCAGACTATGTTCGTGATTGGCTTTGCAAGAAAAAGGCCCCTCTGAAAGAGTCTGGCATCTCTGAGAGCAATTCTGAGGAAAACCTTCCCTTGAGCCAGTTCACTACTGTGGACAGAGAAGCAATTTGGGCAGAAGTGGAAAATGATCCAGAGAAAGCAGAGCTAAAAGCTGAGCAGCCTGAAAATGATGGCTCTTCCCAGGACACAGAGGGCGACCAGGACAACAGCGAGCACACGGAGTCTGCAGACACCAGCACAGGCCATGACAGTGACAACACCTCCTCCTTGTCCCCTTCCCTGGAGCTGCAGGAGGTGAGCAGCGAGGACAAGGAGGCTGCAGCTGATGGCAGAGAGGCTCCAGGCCACGGGAATTCCCTCAGTGCCTCCGAGAGCTCCAGATCCAGCGTGGGGCTCAACCTCGTCAGGGCCGACTCCGAGAGGACTCAGGCCTCGGAGTCTCTGTCCAGTGACGAGGAGGTGGAGCTGGAGCTGCAGGAGATGGCTCACTGCAGGCTGCTGAGGCAGCAGAAGGAGAAGCAGGAGCTGGCAGAGGCCCTGTTCAAGCACATGCTGCTGTACTTGCAACCCTACGACTCCCGGCGGGTGCTCTATGCCTTCTCCGTGCTGGAGGCCGTGCTCAAAACCAACCCCAAGGAATTCATCGAGGCTGTGGCCACCACCAGCATGGACACCAGCTCCACAGCGCACCTGAACCTCATCTACAACCTCTTGGCTCGCCACCAGGAAGCTCTGGTAGGGCAGAGCTTTTATGGGAAGCTGCAGCCTCAGTCCCCCACGGCGTGTCCGCACTCGCTGCTGATCGAGCTGCTCACCTCGCTGTGCCTGAGCTTCCTGCGCTCCTACTACCCCTGCTGCCTGCAGCTCAGCCACAGAGACCTGCTGGGCAACAGGGACGTGCAGGTGAAGAGCGTGGAGGTGCTCATCAGGATGATGGCCCAGCTGGCCACCACGGCCAAGGCGGCCGAGCCCAGGAACGTGGAGTTGATCCGTGATCTGCTGGGAAGGTGCCAAGTGCAGGAGCTGGTGCTGCTCTCACTCTCGGCCTCCATGTACGTCAGCCACAAGCGCTACCAGCTCCTGGCTGATGGGGCCAACCACCAGGAGCAAGAGCTCTTCGAGGAGAGCCTGATCAATTTTGGCCACGATCAGATCTGGAGCGAGCACCCTCTCCAGATTGAGCTGCTGAAGCTGCTGCAGGTGTTGATTGTCCTGGAGCACCACCTTGGCCAGAGGCCTGAGGAGCAGGAGAGCCAGCCAGACTTGTCCAAGGAGTGGCAGCAGGCTCTGAACTTCCAGCAGGCCATTGGGGCCATGCAGTACGTGTACCCACACCCCATCACCTCCCAGGGCTTGTTTGTCTCTGCCGTGGTGAGGGGGCTCCAGCCCGAGTATGGCCATGGCATGCATCCCACCTGGGTGGGCTTGGTCACCAGCTCCCTGCCCTACTTTGGGAAGTCCTTAGGCTGGACCGTGGCCCCATTTGTGGTGCAGATCTGTAAAAACCTGGATGAGCTTGTCAAGCAGTATGAAAATGAAGCTGTGAAGACTTCTGCCAAAACATCTGCCAGGTAAGAGCCACCAGCGGGGATTTGTTATTCCAAAAATTCCCCTTTCCACAGAGCTGGGAGTGTGAAGGAACTCCCTGGGTCAGCACCGTGGCTCCCAGAGTTTGATCCTTAATTCCTGCTGCACCTGGAGTGAGCTGGAGGCAGGATTGGTGCAGCAGCTGGAAGAAGATAGGAGAGAGGAGCAGCAGCAACTCTGATATTTCCTGGCTCCCTCTGCCTTCCATCCAAGTATAAAAGCTCCCAGTTTTATGGATCCCTTCATTTTGATATTCCTGATCTGATATTCCTAATATTCCCTCCAATTTTAGCTGTTGAATAGAAACAGGAATTTTTAATCAAGGGAATACCACTTGGCTTATTAACATGTTTTGGTTTTTTTCCCCCTCCCAAAGCTTCACTTCTAAAAGAGAAAATGTGACTCCTGATTACCCCCTCACCCTTCTGGAAGGACTGACAACCATCGGGCACTTCTGCCTTCTGGATCATCCCCATCCAACAAAAAAGGTACGTGGGAATCCCCTGACAGCAGGGTCACATCCACCTTCCTTCCAGGTGAAGAGAAACAGGGAATTGTACAAGAAAATAACCTTAGAGAGGCCTCAGAGCACACCCAAAGAACTGAGCTGACTCAAAGTGAAAGGACTGAGCTCAATTTTTCTGTGTTTGAAGACTGCAGAGGGAATTTGAAGTCATTGTTCATGAAGATCTTGGTGATGCAAATATCAGTCCTTAACAAACTGGCTTATTTTCTTTGGGCTTATAATGCTTTGATGTGTTCCCTACAATTTTTAGGTTCTTTTGCATAAGAAATCATTATAACATTGATATTTTGGGGTTTTTTTTCCCAGTCATCCTGTTCAGCTGAACCTGCCAACCTGAGGAATGCCAGGAATGCCATCCTGGAGGAGCTGCCCCGAATTATGAACACCATGAGCCTCCTCTGGAATGTCATCAAGAGGGAAGACTCCCAAAAAAGACCAACTGACTTCTTTGGGACAACTAAAGGCTCCTCTTCAGTCTACTTTAAAGCAACCAAAGTAGGAGCTCTTTTAAAATGATGATTTTTTTTTTTAATCTCCTCATCCTCCCCAGTGCGTTTTACATGGAGCTCTTTTATTGTTGTTTATTTTCTGTATATCCTGGGAAAAGAAATAATACTTTATAAAGTAGGAGATGGTCTTTGCCTTACATTGATAATTATTTTCCTCCCTTTACAGACACTAAGAACAAAAATATTGGACTTCCTGAATCCCTTGACAGCACACCTTGGAATCCAGCTGATGGCAGCAACTGCTGCAGTGTGGAACAGCAAAAAACCTCACAGAAGTCACAGTAAAACCAAGGTGAAGCTAAAGAAAAGCACCTTTTTATTTCCTGTATAAAGGCAAATGTTACATTTATGTGGTCAGTTCTTAACTCTGTTTGTAGATTCTTTGGGGTTTTTTTAAATAGGAGTGAAAAATCTGAAATCCTCTTAGTTAGAAAAAGCATCAGAACTACAATTAAACCTCAATAAATAATCAAATAAAACCCACATTGTGGGTTTAAATATGAGAGTAAAATCCATTTTTTATTCAATACTGTATTGCCAAAATATAATTGGCCAATTATATTTTAAAGCTCATGAATCAGCTCAGTTTCCAGAGAAAATGAGAGCTGTGTTCTCTGGAACTCATTATTTATCCTGGGGAGAACCTTTTCCTTTCCTGCTTTCACTGGGGCAGAATCCAGTTGTGTTCATGAGGTGTTGGGAGATCTTTAAATGGCAAGGGCTGTGTGTGGTTATCCACTGTAATTTACATTTCATTTTGAGGGGTGTGTGTTCTGCTTTGTTTTCTCTTGTCAGATTCTCCCGGTGGCCAGTGCATCCCAGCTCGTTCTCGTGGACTTAATTTGTGCCCTGAATACATTAAAAATTGACACCATCTTGTATCTGGTCAAAGAGGTGGTGAAGAAACCAGCACAGATCAAGGGGGAAGAGGTATTAGGTGTTCTATATTTTTTAAACAGCTCTTTTACAAAACCAAATTCACCAAGCAATAAGCATTTTTCTAATAGTACACAAACAAAAATTTTTAGAAATCCTTTAATCCTAATCAAAAACCCAAAACAAATTAAAAATCCATTTCCATTAATAACCTAAAGCAAAAAGTGTACTTATATCTCCACAAGATCAAAAACAAACTAAATTCCAAAAAAGATCACAAAACCGTATCAAACAAAAAGTGTTAAAAACTCTAGAAACAAAAAGGTGAGCACACAAACAAAAACTACAACTAAAAACAAACATCTCTTACTTCACATACAAATACTACAAACATAAAATTAAATCTAATATCACATTTATATATTTTGATTTTATTTACTCTCAACAGTACAGTTTTACCCATTAATCAACCAAAACCCAAAATTTAAATAACCTTAACCAATACATCAAACTTAAATACCATACATTTAACTCATTCAAACCCTAAAAAACCATTTTCAAATTATTTAACAAATTTATCAATAACTACTAAACCAATACCAAAAACTATTCCTCCACATCCTTCACAATTCATTGTAAATCCCTCTAATAAAGTTTACAGCACATTCCTTCCTAAAACATCTTGTAAACACCAAAAATTTAAAAATCCTGAGTTCTATAAAAATAAATTTTTACATCAAATTCAATATTTTTATACTTAAAATATAAAGATATAAAATATATAAATACAAAAATAAATATAGAAAATAAATAAATATCATAATATAAATATATACATATAAATATACAATTATTTAAACTATAAAATTATATTACAATCTATTATATATTTTATATTATTTATATTGTTTATATTTTATATATTAAAATATAATTATTTTTATATCTATTTATTTAAAAAATAAATATATAATATAACAACAAAAACAAAACTTCAAGCAGGTTTCTGTGAAGAGGATTTTCCTGATAGATTAAACAGGAGTGCCAGTCTTTTGGGGGCTATTCAACTACACACATTTCCAGCCTGAACCATGGCTGGAACACTTGCCACAGTGCCAGCCGTGGGTGTGCAGAGCTCTGTGTCCCTTGTCAGGTGCTGGCCTCGCTGCTGGACGTGGTGTACCGCAGTGATGAGAAGGACAAGGCCGTGCCCCTCATCTCCCGCCTGCTCTACTTCGTGTTCCCCTACCTGCGGAACCACAGGCCAGTCTCTCCCTGCTCCTGCCATTTCCCTGCCTCATCTTTTTGTTTTCCCTTGTTTCTCCATTCTCTGTTCCCATTCTAATGGATTTGAGCTGGGTTTGAGCACTGTTTCCCCAGGAGCTGAACCGTTGTTGTTTGAGCTCTGCTTCCCCCACCTGGGATCTTGGGCTTTACTCAATCTCCCCTTTCTGTGCCTGTCAGGGGATGGGGATGGGGCAGCAGAGCATGGGAGGTCCCAGGATCCACCAGGAAGCAGAAAAGCATCATCTCTCCCTATTCTCTCCCTAGTTTTTCTCACAAATGTGGGAGAGATGGATGATATCCAATGGGGACACAGGGCATGGAGTCCTGGAATGGTTTGGGTTGGAAAGGACCTCAAAGCCCATCCAGTGCCACCCCTGCCATGGCAGGGACACCTTCCACTGTGCCAGGCTGCTCCAGCCCCAGTGTCCAACCTGGCCTTGGGCACTGCCAGGGATCCAGGGGCAGCCACAGCTGCTCTGGGAATTCCATCCCAGCCCTGCCCTCCCCACCCTACCAGAGAACAATTCCTTCCTAAAGATTGCATTCAAACCAACCCTTTTGTGAGCTGGGATCTGTTTCTGAACTTTAAAAAAGCCCATATTGATAATTTTTGTCCTCTCCCGTAGTGCCTACAACATTCCCAGTTTCCGCGCTGGTGCTCAGCTGCTGAGCTCCCTGAGTGGATACGCCTACACCAAGAGAGCCTGGAAAAAAGAAGTGCTGGAATTGTACATGGATCCATCTTTTTTCCAGATGGACACTTCCTGCACTCAGTAAGATATGGAATTGCAGCACTCCAAGCTTGTATTCTGAATTTATAAGGAAAGGTTTTAAAGGAGAGGAGTAACATTGGGAAGAAGATTCCACTTAGTGCTTTCTTATGGAATAGGATAATGTTAAAAATGGGTCTCAGCACTAATTCTGCTCCAGACAAGAGTCTGCACACAAATCCTGCCTGGAAACCGTTTTCTTGTATGGAAAGTTTGACCCAAATTATTTCTGAGGTGAATCCACACCACAGCTTTCCCTGGATATCTAATTCCTTCCTTCTCTCCTGCAGCTGGAGATCCATCATTGATCATCTCCTCACACATGAGAAAACCATGTTTAAGGATTTGATGAGTAAGTATCAGCTGCTGATAATGTATTTCTACCTCAATTTGAAATCTATTTGCATCTGAGCCATTTGGGTGCATTTTTATTACACTGATTTATCCATAAAGTGCTGACTGTGCATAATTGACCATTTTGGGAACTTGATTCCCAGCTAAAGCTGAGTTAAATCTGGATTTTGATCACGTCTAAAACACACCAGAGGAGATTTTGCTGTAGAGGTGCTTCTGTTGGGCTCCCACATTCACATTTTGCTCTAGTTTTGAGGTGTCCAAGTGTGACCTTTCACAGGAGGAGACTTTGGCAAACTCTGCAGGTGTCTGTCATGAGCAGTGCAGCAAACCTTCCTTTGCTGTGCTGTGACCTCTAATTCAGGCTCAAGGGGAGTGTGGAAGAACAAATCCTGGGGAAGGGGTGGGATGGGACCCCTTAGAGTGGCCTCAAGCACCTTTAGTCTCTTTTTCATCCTTGCTAAAAAAATAATTCAACAGTTAGAACACAAGACAAATTTTATTACGCAAGACAAATTCACAGTCGCTGACCCAAGAGAGTTCTTTTACTGGAAGATTTCAGGACCCAGGGATTATCCCCAGCCCCAAAGGCAGGCAGTTCCTGTGGGGTGGATAACTGTGCTGTGTGTTGCAGCCATGCAGAGCAGTGCCCTGAAGCTGTACCCCAGCTTTGAGCAGAAGGCCATGCTGCTGAAGCGCCAGGCGTTCGCCGTCTTCAGCGGGGAGATCGACCAGTACCACCTGTACCTGCCCCTGATCCAGGGTGAGCCTCCATCCCTGCCCTTCCCTGCAGCTGCAGCACAAATCCCTTGGGCCACAGAAGCCCCTGGATCCCTGGCAGTGCCCAAGGCCAAGCTGGATGGGGCTTGGAGCAGCCTGGGGTAGATGAAGGTGTCCCTACCCCTGGAGCTGGCTGATTTTTAATGTTCCTCCCAACCCAAACCATTCCATGATAGAAATTCTGTAAGAAAGCAAAGTCACCTCTTTTCCAACAAGTGCTTCGGGTTTTTTTTAATTTTGAATAAAATTGATGAATCTCTGAGTTCCAACAGAGAAATGACCTCAGCAGGGAAAGGCAGGAATCTTGGTTTCAATGCCTTTGGTCTGGAAATGGGATTATTTCATGGCAACCTTCCAACCACTCTTGACCTGCTGTTGTTCTCTTTAAATGCCAGTTTTGATCACATTTTGTGCACCACAAACCCACTTGGGCTTTGTCTGAATTACAATTCAGTTAATAGAATGCAAAGAACTTGGCCCAAAACTGATGATCAAATAAAAATTGTGATTTGCCACCTTCTACAAGGTGGAGAGGGAGCTTTCACAAGGGCTGGAGTGACAGGACAAGGGAATGGCCTTAAACTGCCAGAGGGCAGGGCTGGATGGGATCTTGGGAATGAGGAATTGTTCCCTGGCAGGGTGGGCAGGGCTGGGATGGAATTCCCAGAGCAGCTGGGGCTGCCCCTGGATCCCTGGCAGTGCCCAAGGCCAGGTTGGACACTGGGGCTTGGAGCAGCCTGGCACAGTGGAAGGTGTCCCTGCCATGGCAGGGGTGGCACTGGATGGGCTTTAAGGTCCCTTCCAACCCAAATGATTCTATAATTCCACACTTTAATTCCCAAAACAATAGAAATTCGGGAAAATGCTGCTTTTATTTTGCCTTTTCCCTTTTTTATGCTTCCTCCAGAACGCCTGACTGAGAACCTCCGCGTGGGCCAGACTTCTCTGGTGGCTGCCCAGATGTTTCTCTTCTTCAGAGTTCTCTTGTTGAGGATTTCCCCTCAACATCTCACCTCGTTGTGGCCAATCATGGTCACAGAACTGGTAAGAAAGAAGTTTTGAACATTTTTTTAAAAAAAATATTACATTTGAAAAAAAATCAGCCTGTGGTTTTTCCTAGTTTAGATTTTTCCTCTTCCCTGCTTGGAAATGTTTCCACAGTTTTAATCTGATCATGTGTGGAGGAAATGTTAAATTGTGATTAGGAAATTCCTTTTGGATTAATTTTGGTGTTGTTAACAGAATCTGTTGCCTGAGTTATTAATTTGTTACAAGTCATAAAGGTTCCTTTTCAGTGTCAATCATCACTTTTAGATGGGATTGAGTTGTATGAATATTTCAGCTTCTCAATAATTATTTCTTTAAAGATCCAGACATTTCTACAGCTGGAGGAAGATTTAACTGAGGAAGAGGAACCAGCAAAGTAAGAGCTGCCATTTGAGAGATTCTTTAAAATTAATTAATTTAATTAATGCTCTGGGATAGGGAGGAGAGTTTGAGAGATTTCTTTAAAATTAATAAATTAATTCTCTACAATAGGGAGGAGCCAACAGGACATTTTGCTATTGGATTTTTATTTTTCTATTACTGTTAAAAAAATTTAGATTTTTTTTTTTTTTAGCAGCTTAAATAGTGATATGCTTAAAAATATATGTACTAATTATTAGTTGTGTACAAAAATAAATGCTAAGTTGGCAGTCCAATATTTTAACATGGTGCCATTTTTTGGTATGTTTTAGATTATTTTGCTCCTACAGAGCAAAAATAAAATGAAAATACTTGTACAAGAGCCTCTTACAGAATAAAAATAATGGTCCAAGAGCTCCTTTGTGTAAATATGGGCATTCCTCTTGTGCTGACTGAAAAACCTTGGGTGGATTGGAGTTTGAATGGACCTTTTTTTCAATTGAAACACAGGAGCAACAGCAAAATCAGCAAAGCCAAAGGCTCGGGGGATGGCAGCGGGGCTGAGATCCAGCCCAAGGAGCTGTGCCTGTACCTGGCAGCCTGCAAATTCCTGGACACAGCGCTTTCCTTCCCCCCTGACAGGATGCAGCTCTTCCAAATGTGAGTCTCTCTTCTCCTCCTGTTCCTTTATCCTTTAAAGGAATTGTGTTTCCCTCACGATTTCATTTTGCCTTTCATCAGTTCCTTTTAGGAGTGCTGATATTGGATATATGATGATAAATATGGTGATAAATGGGATTTGGGAGAGAAGTTTGGTCTTGGTATAGGAGGATTTCCCCATCCTCTTTAGGATTCCTTAACTTGGAAAACTGGGAGTGGAGAAAGGTGAAGATTGTTTTCCATCTGCACATACCTGGGAATGTTTTGGACTGGTTGTATTTAAATGTTGGCAAATTAGTAATGTAATAATTCATTAATAGCAACAGAGAACACTGATGAGAGATTTTTTTAGAAACAACCAGTGCTGCACTAAAATAGGCTTGATCCAATCAAGGATTTTTATCTTTTTAAGGAATCAGTCCATTTTTTCCAGGTACAAATGGGCCTTTGTGCCAGAGGTGGACACAGAATCATCTCCTGTCACCTCCCACCTGGTGGAAAACCACCAGGAATGCCAACCACACATCGTGAGGATCATGGATCTGCTCAGGATGAAATATGGGGTAAACAAACTTCTCATTTTTTTAATACATTAATTTACTTTTCCAAACAGAAAATTTTTAGTTATTCAGAGGATTTTTAGATATTCCCTGTGAGGAAGAGGAAGAGCAGCTGTGGCTGCCCCTGGATCCCTGGCAGTGCCCAAGGCCAGGCTGGATGGGGCTTGGAGCAGCCTGGGGTAGATGAAGGTGTCCCTACCCCTGGAGCTGGCTGATCTTTAATGTCCCTCCCAACCCAAACCATTCCATGATTCTGTAAGAAAGCAAAGTCACCTCTTTTCCAACAAGTGCTTCGGGTTTTTTTTAATTTTGAATAAAATTGATGAATCTCTGAGTTCCAACAGAGAAATGACCTCAGCAGGGAAAGGCAGGAATCTTGGTTTCAATGCCTTTGGTCTGGAAATGGGATTATTTCATGGCAACCTTCCAGCCAATCTTGACCTGGTGTTGTTCTCCTTAAATGCCAGATTTTAAGTTATTGAAGGGATTTTTAGATATTCCCTGTGAGGAAAAGACTGCCCAGAGCAGCTGTGGCTTCTTCTGGATCCCTGGAATGTCAAAGGCCAGGTTGGACACTGGGGCTTGGAGCACCCTGGGACAGTGGAGGAGCTCATGGATGAGCTGGATGATCTTCAAGGTCCTTTCCAACCTTTACCTTTAGTACATCCCCGCTTTTTTTCTTTTCAGGACCCAGAGCACCCCGAGGGAGCTGCCAGGAATCCCAAATTCCCCCTGCTGAGCCTGCGCTCCGTGTCCAGCATCACCCAGCTGCTGCCTTTCTTCCAGACTCTGTGCTGGGCCTTCACAGCCCGAGGCAGTGACCCCCACAATTCCCACCCCTCTGCAGCTGCCTCCGTGGATTCTCTTGGCAGCAACAGCAGCAGGATCCTGCAGCAGCTGGAGGACAGTGTGGAATGTGATTTCCTGGAAAATATGGAAAGTTGAGCCTCACCTGGGACACTCCTGCTGGATCAAACACAGGGAAAGCTTGGCTGAAATTCCATTTTTTTCCCCCCAGATTTCCAGCTACGTTTTGGGATTTCTCTTCAATTATTCAGGAGCCGGTGGTAAAAAGCAGGAATCTCCTGTTGCTGTGGTGGGAAAAAAGGGCAGTTTGGTGGGAATTTCTCAGAGTTCCTGTGTTTTATTTGTTTTCCATGGGAAGGATTAAAGACATTTTGTAAATAGGGGAAGAATATTTTGAACTTGGTGGAAGCAGCTGCTGTCCTGGGACTTCTCCAGGACTTTAAAGTGCTTTTGGAACTGTGTCCTGAAGGAAAATTGAAGGAAAATCCAATATTGCATGTTAGTGTACAATCAGTTTGCAGTGAGTCATTTCCTGAGGTGAAAGCCCTTAATTTGACCTAAATTGATCAAATTCCAAACAAATGCCCCAAATTCCTCACAGATGGATTGGCTGAGTCTCATCATTGTGCAAGGAGCTGCAGCTTTTCCCTGGCTGTAATTTCAGCTCTCTGCTAGAACAGCATCTTCAGGCGTAGCAAATCCTTAGAAATGTGCATAAAACACAAACCTTTGCAGGAACATTTTGTAATTTGCATTACTTGAGGGGGTTTTTATTTTAATTAATTGATTAAAAGATTTAAATTAATATTTTTTAAATTATAAACTTTTGTTCTTTCAGTGACTCAGGTGGCTGCAGCTTCTGAAATGCAACTAAATGAAGATAATGCTGTAAAAATAGAAATTGCTTAACTAAAATGAAAATAATATTCTTTTTTTTTGTTTTTGTAAGAACATTTTTTGTACAAAAGAATGTATTTGGCTGTTCCTGGATGGTGAGAGACGTAGGGGGATCATCCCAGTGCTTTTCCTAAATTAAAAAGGACATGGGAAAAATTTGGTTGGGAATCAAGGATTTCTTTTTCCCAAACTCCCATAACAACGAGGGAGGCTTCTCTGCCGTGGGTTTTAGGTACAGATGGATGAGATTTTCATCTTGGGTTTATAAACTAAAATAATGAAACATCCTTTACTCTCACACTGGAATACTGTACAAAAATAACAGCACAAGAGGCTTGTGCTAAACTTATTTAAATCCTTTGCATTTTTACAGTGAACGAAAGTGGTGGATTGAAGTGTGGTCATTAAGAATGTGAATTGTTTCTATTAATATAATTTATTAATGGTCTCTAATGCTGTTGGAATGAGCACAAGTGAAAAGTTACCCTTTGAAAGCATTACTTGAATATTGGAGCAGGCCACTGTTAAAATGTTGGTGTTTATTTCCTACCTGTCTGCAATAATTGTTATGGATAATCTGAACACTCAGGATGATTTGGTACTTTCAGTTTCCTGCTGGTTGCATTCCATGCTTGGATCTTGCCCTTAAAATGCTCAGAAAGGAGAGCAAGGTTAGATGGGGTGTTGGGAAGGAATTCCTGGCTGGGAGGGTGGGCAGGGGCTGGGATGGAATTCCCAGAGCAGCTGTGGCTGCCCCTGGAGCCCTGGCAGTGCCCAAGGCCAGGCTGGAGCAGCCTGGCACAGTGGAATGTGTCCCTGCCATGGCAGGGGTGGCACTGGGTGGGCTTTGAGGTCCCTCCAACCCAAATCATTCTAGGATTCCATGATTCTGTTATTCCATGATTCTATCCAATGGTGTTAAAATCTAAGAGAACTTTTTGTCATTAAACTGCTTTCAGTGGCATCAGACATTTAAGGAACTTGCAGAATCCTTCCACTTCAGAAGAAAAAGTTCTTTAAAATTTAGTATCCAAGTAGATCTTTTATAAATAGCATGTGAAAAAGGAGGAAAGGGCTTTAACTAAAAGTCCTGCTTGAGTGCTGGAGGGACGCAGTTCCACAGGTCAAAAGGGGAGTATTTTATTCCTTTATTCCATAATTTTATTACTTTTCCATGGGGGACTAACTGTGGTTGTTTTCTCCTACTGATAAATCCACTGAGGAGCCACTGCAGGGCTCTCCTGCTCTGAGCTGGTCCTACCAAAGCAGAGCAACCTCGCTGTCCATGAATCTGGAAACATTTTTGCCTGGAACTCCAGACATCCTCTCCTGTTCCAGGACAGGAAATGCTTTTGCTTTGCTGTGATTTTGCTTTTCAGTCTAACCAAGCTCAGCTTTGTCTTTTGGACACTTCAGCTCCAATACAGCAGAAAGTGCTCAGAGGGAGACTTGGAAATATTCCAAAGGATTTCATTGTCCTGAAAGAAAAAAATCAGGAGGTGCGACCAAGGTAAACTGCTGAAGAGCAGCAGGACTTGAAGTGTAGAGCATTAAGTGATGGTTGTGTATCCCATACCATACATGAATGTAATTCTTCTATTAATATTAAATGTTATTTTGCAATGCCTTTTCAAATGCAGTTCTTATTTTTCAACCTGCCTTCACTGCTCACTCACCAATTTTAATTTTTATCTGGCTCTGGAAAAGCTCCCAAATTCAATCACAGAAAAGATCTCCAAGATCTTCTCCAAGGTCCCAGCTGTGCCCCATGCCCACCTTGTCCTCAGCCCGGAGCACTGAGTGCCACCTCCAGGGGACACCTCCAGGGATGGGCACTCCAGAGCTCCCTGAGCAGCTCCTTCCAAGGCCTGAGCACCCTTTCCATGGGGAAATTCCTGCTGAAAATCCCACCTCAGGGGATGAGGGCTGTGGATCCCAGGAGCAGAACTCTGCTGCCCCTGCTTTGGGAGAGGCTGTGCTGCTCCTCTCTTCCCCTCTCATCCCACAGCCCTGCTGCTCCACCTCTTGCATCCCTGGCCTTTACAGCCCTGGAATTGGCGCACTGAGATCCCTGTCCCTGCCTGGGACAAGCTTTGGGGAGCTGTGTCTGGAACAGGGAGCTGCTGCAGGGATCATGGATTGACCCTGGATGGAGAGAGAGACTTCCCAGGAAATCAGGAGCTGCTGCTGCACAGCTCCAGCCTGAACATTTCACATAGCCAAGGGAATGCCCTGGAAGAAATCTCTTTCCTCTTCATCCAGAGGGAAGAAAACTCTTCTGTACCATGATCTTTAACAGCTCAGGCTGGAGGAGTGTGGTTTAAATGACTGTGTGTGGTACTTTTAGTTTGAAATTGGGTGGAAATACTGATTTTGTGTAGTGGTTTTGGTTTGTTGAGATTTTTTGGTTAATGTACTAATTAGTGTGGTGGGTTCAGTGTTGGTTAATTATTAGTGTACTCACTAGAATGTATTTACTTAGTTTTTGCTGTGATATAGGATTAGGAGAAAGGTAAAGTAGGTTTAAAATTTTAGAAGGATATAAAGAAAAATTTATTAACAGCAACTAAAAGAAAGAGTAATAAGAATTAGAATAAAATCTTTAGGATACTTTTCTTTTTCTTACAACTTTTTTTACTGACAATGTAAAGAAATAAAACCTAAAATTTCAGTCAGTTTACCGACTTCTAAAATAGTCTTTTTTTAGTTTATTTAGAGAAGTTCCTCTTGTTAATGTTATGGAGACTTCTCTATAAGAAAACAGTTTTCTCGTGATTCTCTTTATGAATAGCAGCCACCCGGGGAAATTGGTAATTGTGAATTCCTTCTCATTTTTTGTAAGTTTTCTTATAGTTGTGTTTATGGGCTATGCTAACTTATGGGGTACTGTTTTAAAGAGGAGTTGTTTAAAGGTAAAGGTTCTCATTATCTATCTCTGAAATCCTCTTCTTCTTGGGGGTACAGCATCTTTACCACTCTTCTTTCTCTGTTTAAAGTTCTCCCAGGATCACAGTTACTTCACCATCTGTTTATTTTAGTGTGGAGGCTACACTGAGGGAAAGCTGCTGCTCCCATTTCACCCTTCCCTGTACCCAGGGCCTCCCCTGGAACATTGTGAGGGGCTGATGTGGATGTGCCAAACACCAAGAGCTGTGGAGCCATCCAAGGTTTGCTGTGAGGAACAACAGGATGTGGCTGGGGAAGGGGCCATGAGGAGGTGGGGCAGTAATTTCTGGGACAAATGTCCTTGTTCTGGCACAGGGATGAGGTCAGGGAGTGTCAGACAAAATTCCCAGATGCTCCTACAGAGTCATCCTGCTCTGCTCCAGGAGACAAGCTTGGCTGCTGGGGTCAAAGTAGAGAATCCCAGGATCACCAAGGCTGGAAAAGACCTCTAGGCTCTGTCAAGATCCAGTTATTAAAACTATTAAAAATGTCTCTGCCTGAATTCAGGTGCAAACAAGACCATATGCCATGACAATAGTATGGGTTTTATCTGATAGTAAATATGAGAGACAGAAAATAAAGAGATAGAAAAGTGGTGGGCGGGAACAGAAAGAGAGTGGCAGGGACAGAATAAAGAAAATGTCACCACTCCACGGATCCCAGTGATGTTGTATGGATCTTCTCCAGAGCTCTTGGTGTGAGGATCCCACAAAAGCACAGAATCCCAAGGGTTAATGTAGCTCAGGCCCGGGGGGGGAATGCCCAGGGCTGTCTCTTGCAGCAGACTCCAGATCTGTTGCATCCTGTGCAGTCCTGAGGTGCAAGACTTCAGGAATTACTCAGGGGGGCATTTTGGGATGGATTCTGACACCCCCTGAGGTGTCCCTCATATGAATGTCCCGTGGGTGTGCCCTGTGGGCTGGGGCTTTGTGTAAGGGAGGATGGATGCTCAGTGCCTCTGAACTTGGGGTGAACCTCTGAGGTGACACCCAAAAGCTCCTCCCCTCCTCCTTTCAGGGAGGCTGTGGAAAGCTGGCCACTGTGGGCTGTGCTCTCCACACCCCAAACCCTGCCAGGCAAGCATCTCTGCTGGGCTTGGCTCTTTTTTTCCCTCTCCCTCAGTCCTGTTTGTCTGTCCCTAGGCTGGGATGATTGAACAACAGTGTATCTAGGAGTTCAACTTACAGTCCAAAGTCCCAGTCAGGTGGAGGCTTCTGTGGCTGCAGTTTCTTTATAGAGTTTTTGTTATAATGGGCAAAACTCTTTCACAACAACGCTCAAGGCGGGAATCATTTCAGTCCCTGAAGGCTCCTCACACCCAGCCGTGACCCCAGCACCACCACCACGTTCACCATTAAACCCCAGCCTCAAGTGCCACAACCACAAGTTTCTTGAACGTTTCCAGGGATGGAGACTCCACCACAACCCTGAGTGTCCTGTTCCAGTGTTTGACCATCCTTTCCAGGAAGAAATGTTTCCTAACATCCACCCTGAGCCTGCCCTGGGCCAGCCTGAGGCCGTTCCCTCTGCTCCTGTCCCTGTTCCCTGGAGCAGAGCCCGACACCCCCGGCTGTCCCCTCCTGGCAGGGACTTGTGCAGAGCCACAAGGGCCCCCTGAGCCTCCTTTGCTCCAGGCTCCAGCCCCTTCCCAGCTCCGTTCCCTGCCCTGGACACGCTCCAGCCCCTCCAGGTCTCTCCTGCAGGAGCAGAACTGGGCACAGCCCTCGAGGGGCCTCTCAGAGCCAGCACAGAGGGACAATCCCTGCCCTGCTCCTGCTGGACACACAATTCCTCATCCAGCCCAGCTGCCAGTGGCCTCTTGCCCACCTGGGCACCCCTGGGCTCGTGTCCAGCCCCTGTCACCAGCACCCCCAGGGCCTCTGGGGCACTTTACCACAGCGCTCCTTCTCTCCGGGCACTCGGAGTGTTCCTGTCTGGATCCCCAGAACAGTTTCTACTTCGGCATTTCTGCTGATTCCAGGTGTCCAGGGCAGGGAACGGAGCTGGGAAGGGGCTGGAGCCTGGAGCAAAGGAGGCTCAGGGGGCCCTTGTGGCTCTGCACAAGTCCCTGCCAGGAGGGGACAGCCGGGGGGGTCGGGCTCTGCTGCCAGGGAACAGGGACAGGAGCAGAGGGAACGGCCTCAGGCTGGGCCAGGGGAAGTTTAGGTTGGATACTGAGAATTTTTTTTCCTGGAAAGGGTGCTCAGGTCTTGGCAGGGGCTGCCCAGGGAGGTTTGGAGTGCCCATCACTGGAGGTGCCACCTGGAGGTGGCACTCACTGCTCTGGGCTGGGGACAAGGCGGGGCTCGGGCACAGCTGGCCTGGATGATGTCCAAGCCTCATCCCAATCTAACCCATCCCCTCACTCCGCCCCGCCGCCATCCCCTCACAGCGCCCTCAGCCCCAGCCCCGCCCACTGCGAAGGGGCGTGGCTCCACAGCAAGCCCCGCCCCGCGTGCGCGCGCCCGGCGCCGGAAGCGCGAAAGGCCGCGGGGAGGCGGAAGCGCGCGCGGCGCCGCGGCCTGAAGATGGCGGCGAAAACACAGGGCGGGATCCGCCTGAGCGCGGTGAGTGCGAGGGGGCGGCGGGGCCGCGGCCGACCGGGGCAGGACACCTGAGGGACCGACTCGGGACCGGCTCGGGACCGGCTCCTTCCAACCTGCTGACATGGCCAGAGACACCTTCCACCGTCCCAGGCTGCTCAGAGCCCCGTCCAGGCTGGCCTTGGACGCTTCCAGGGTCACTCCCTCAGCGAGCGCCGCCGCGTCTCTGCTGGGGACGAGGGACCGGGGGCTTCCCCGCCCTCATCCTGGCTCAGAGCCGGGAAAATTCCCTGCTCTCGGTCCGGCCGGGCTGTCCGAGGGGAAGGTGAGGGCTGGGGGTGGGCTCGGTGTTGGGGGCGGGATTTCTCCGCCTCTGGCGAGCGCCGTGACCTCTAATTGCCAACTTGTAATTTCAAATCTTAACTACTTTTATTGCAAGCGGTCTAATTACATTTTAACCCTAATTGCGTCTGAGAGGGATGAGTGTTCACGCAGTTCAGTGCTGCTGTGTTGTGTTTTCAGTCGCAGTATTGTTGCTGAGCTGTTGTGGCAATCGGTCGTTCGTTTGTGCCCATGGAAATGAAGTTAAAGCTGCTTTTTCAGGTGAAACAGGAGGGTTTTTTCCAAGTCAATGCTTCTAAATCTCACCTGTTCCCATCACCTTGCTTTAGAACAGTGAAAAGAAGCAGGAGTGCTCTGATGAGTAACTTATGAAATATTTGAGTGAAAAAGGTGTGTTCGAATGCATTCAGCACTGCTGGAATTACAGAATCGTTTAGGATGGGAAATACCTCCCAGATCCTTGAGTCCAACCTCTGGCTGAAATTTTATCACCTAATATCGATTTATGTTACCCTAGTATCCATTTCTGGTACTTTAATATGAATTTATATTACCCTAATAAAAGTTGCTAAAATAAATTATTCTAGAGATGAGCCATAAATACAATCTCCTTGAAGTTCCAAAATTGCATTTTGATTTTGATTTCAGGCCTTTAATTCTTGGAAGTGTTTGAAATCTACAGTTGCTGTGATGTTTTATTGCAGCAGCATTGTCCTGTTTCTTTAGATAAAGATTTAGATTTATTATTATGTTTTGGACATATAATTGGTTGTCTTGAGAGGAAAAAGTATCAAAAATCAGCCT